AGGGCTTATAGCGTTAATTTGTCGTCATTTTTAAAGTCAATGCAAATAGAAATTCTTTTCTTGTTAGGATAAATTTGCTATTTAGGTCTAAGTAAAAACATAAAAAAAACAAAAACTGGTATCAGTTATTAGCAGTTTTCCTATCAACCTGTACAACAGCTTTATGAATCCTAACAGCAGGTATCTATTTCCTTGACTCAGTGTAACACATTGGAAGATGGCTGGACACTCAGACACATGAATCTGAATTGTCTTAATCCACTCAGAATGTTGCTAAAACTATTCATTTGCCTCATTAGAAATCTTTATCTTTAAAACTAAGAGGTTAAAGCTACTCATTTTGTCCTTCCTCTTAAGACGAATATGAGTAACATTATCAATGAAATGACTTTCACTGAGGAAATTAAATTCTCAAAACAAAAATTTGTGTTCTACTACAGTGCTTTCTCAAACTGTTACCTGCCAATCTTGTCAAAATATAGATTCAGCAGGTCAAAAATGGAGCTGTCTTTTGAGTCTAGTAAATTCCCAGGTGGTATTCAGTGATACTAGTCTGGTAACTGCATTTAGAGTAGCAAAATTGTAGGAGCTGAAGACACTGACAGGCGAGGCCAGTCTAGATATTATTAGAGAGCAGTGACCATATCCGGGAATAAAATGTAAGGAAAATATGCAAAGTTTTAAATACTGTAATTTCTAGATATGCACTAGATATGGGGGATGAAAAATGTGTGCAGGAAACATGAAAGGTGGTAAACTGCTAACTAAAGCTGAGTGACAGAGGTATGTTATATTCTATTAAAAATAACAATTACAGGACTCAAAAATCCTGCACAACCCTGACATCAGGTTGAGATGCCAAATGCCCATTCTGTTCACTGAAATGGGAGTGAGGAATAGAAAAAGAATTTGGACAACAAAATACTGTATTAAACAGCTAAGTATTACAATAATTGCAGGATTTTTGTTAACCAGACAGAAAAATTTAGACTACTGAAAATAACAGGTCAACACCCCCTGCTTACCCCTTTGAAAAGCAATCACTGAATAAAAACGTGCTAAATTTAGGGTAATTATCACCCCTGGAGAAAAAATGAGGAAGGACTAAAATCAGGAAGAGGCACATAGTTCAATCTTTAATGTTCTATGAAGTCATGCATAAAAATCACATTTAAGGTACTGAAAATATGAAGTGGTGATACAGCTCAGTGTAAGAAAGTTGGTATGGTATTCACGTTTCCCCTATTTTTCTACATATTTGAAGATACTCTTAAGGTTACCCAATTTTTTTTTTTTTAGTATTGGGGATCAAACTCAGGAGCTTGCCAGGCATATGCTGTGCTGCTGGACCACATCCCCGGCCCTCCCCTACCTTTTCTACAGGAACTGGGCTCCTGAATAAGTATTAAAAAATTTTTTTTTCAGTACCAAGAATTGAATTCAGGGCCTTGCACTTGACAGGCAGGTGCAGCACTGCTGAGCGACATCACCGTCCGTAAGATTAAGCTTTCTGATAACTAGTGAACGTATTCTAACACTACTTTAAAATTTTTCTAGTGAATTCTTGCCAGACTTTGTAGAAACAGAAACCTGTGCATTCAACTTCACTAAATAATTGTTAACTAGACAGAAATGTTGACTAGACAATTTCAAATTTATGTTTAAGAGTGAGGTGGGCAAGGAATCTTACTTGAAGACCATTTTTCCTACCTTACCTTGAAAATCAAGTTTTACAATTGTCTTCTAAAGATTTATAAATATTTATTTTTTATGAAGTCTGTAAATAAATATGTATTTTATGAAGTTGTCAAATAGTTCAGATATACAAGGCCAAATGCAAAGGCTCTTTCCCTTGGCTATGAGATACAACATGTAACTGCGTTACACATCTTTCTACTTTACCAGACTAATATTTAAATAATTTAGCAAAAGATTTTCTTTATAAAAAGTAGATATTAGGAAATTACTGTGGACAATTAAGCTTAATTTAGAATAATTTGGAGAGCTGCAAACTCTGGCACTGTAAATTTTAGAGTAGTTTACCAACTGCACAGCATTCCCACATTGACCCTATCTAAGCCTTAGTGTGCAGGGCTGAATTTATTGCCTCCATTTTAGATGAAGATCCTGGAAAACTTTATGGTAATCTAAAGAGAACAAGAACAAATTGCATGAAATCTGTTCTTTAAGAAGCTTTGAAACACTTCCAAAATAAATCACATTTAACGTAAAAAATGGTTTTTTTGGTCAGAAAAAATCTAGTTATTTCTAAATGTTCAAAGTTTGTATTAATAAAGCAGCTGAATCATACTTTAATGTTACGATTCAAATGTTGGATTGCTCCTGAGGTAAGACTCTGAGGCATAAAACAGTTGTAATGACAAAATTGTACTTTTTCTTTTTTTTGGTACTGGGAATCAAATTCAAGTCCTTACACTTGTGAGTCAGGTGGTGGAATACCACTGAGCTAGATACCTGGCCATGATTATACTTTTATGAACCTACCACTACCATTACACAGTTCACTGTATTCCACAGCCTGGATTAATTTAATGTGTTAAAATTATCATTTCACTAACGTAGTGCTTTCAAAGTAAGGCTATTTAGGAACATAGCCCAAGAAACTCTGATCTGCTACATCTTTATGCAGGAAGAACTTTGGATTTTGGTCAGCTCCTCCTTCCCCTACTACCAAGGAGATATTTAACTTTGTCCAGTTCAGTAGCTAGGACAACTCTATAGTTTCCACACATTGCTACTGGACTTTGCTTTGACCTCTAAGACAGCCCTACTATCTCCAATCTACCTGTAAAAGGTTGGGGGGGGACTCCTTTCAAGTATTATATCCACTAAGCAATACTGAGAAAAACTCCACTTAAAGCTGTGTTCAATTACTATTCATTAACCAATAGATGATACTGGTTTTTTTACAGACTAAGACATTTTTGGAGGCTGCTAGAATACCTTTGTATTACAATGCTATTTAAAGAACAAAAAACACGGGAGATCATCTAGCTTCCAAATCATCTTTAAATTGTTGGCTCTAATGTAAACAAAATTATTTTTAAATTATATATTTGAAGTGACTGAATAATTATGTAGAGTATATTTAAATATATCTTATGCACCTTCTTTTAAAAAATCATCTTATTACATAAATTTTTCATTATTGAGATGTTTTATAAGAACAAAGCAACATGTATCACTGCATGTTTATCCTGACATCAATACACCTGTTTAGAAAGTGACCAAAAATATTCTGAATAGCACCCTAATTGTAACCATATGAAAAATGAAAGTAATACCATATCCAGTTGTCAAATGTAAACTGCTCATTTTAAATACCTGAATGTGTATCTTCCTTCCTCAAAGAAAAATAGATGAAATGCTACTCTTCTTTCCAATAACATCAAATACTCTTTGTTGAAACTCACAAGGTAGTCTAAGATTAGTAGGAAATCTTTAGCGGACACAAAAGATGAAAGATGAAACTGCAGCAAGAGAGCATGGCAAGTCCAAAAGATCTACTAGTGCATAAATCTACTGGAAAAACAACAACAACAAGAACGAAAGAGATAGAAAGAATTAACAAGCTACAATAGAAAGTTATGTGTTTAAAGCAGTAGATTATAAACAGGGTGGGAAATGTTTAATATGTGTCTTCCTGAAGAGCAGTGATCATCTTTTAT